ATAAGATATTCTGCACCATTAAAAGTAGAATATGAATGTAGATTTATTGATAGCCTACTGACATATTTCCTTGTTTATACATAGGCCTATATATATAATGCCGAATAACGTCTTTTAGACTCCATATTATCTTGTAATTGCTAGCATTATCAATATCTAATAATACTGCTTGAGTTCTTGCCATTTTACATTTATCCTATTTGTCAGCTTCTAATACATTATCTGCTTTTTTAACTTACCCTGAAGTGTAATTCTATTTCTTTTCTCTAACAAAGCCATACTCAACTTACGGCTCACCAAGCTTCTATTGTGGCCCGTAAGATTCACATTCATTCTGGCAATTTGGCAAAAGTTTTTCAAATAGCGAGACTCGACCGGTTGGTATGCAAACTGTTCTCGCCGCCTGTTTGTTTTAATTACGTAATAACGTCGATGGGTGCAGTTTCGTTTCTTATAACTGTCAGCTACGTTGAACCGACCCGAGTGACTGTTTTCAAACGAACCGTTGTGTGTAATAAGATTACCCACAATGACTGCAGTTGCTTCAAAATACGAACGGAAAATGTCCGAAGGAAACTATTTCAAAAAATTCTGAAAAAGCATATATCGTTGTGCCAAATAAACACAATTCGGCAACTTGTTTGATTTGTCGTTAAAGTGTAATATTAATATTTTAGTTGGAGCGTTAGCGAAGCCTCTTCTATATTGCTCACGGAATTATGTTTTTTCCTCAAAATTTGATCGATCGATTTTGATAAAACTTTGTCATCTTCCATTAATAGCCGTGAGGAATCCAAGCATAAAATAAAAAATGGTAGTCCATGACTTCGTTTTCGAGATAGAAGTGACAATGTCAAGTTCTCTTACGCGATTGACTGCGTCAACGGAAATTAAAGGACAAAAATTAAAAACCAGCATTGTGCGGGTCCAACGAAAAATTACCGAGCGAAAAATGATCAAAACAGAAAAAGAAAGCAAACGGCATTGATTGCTTTGTTCTTGGATCGTCTGTCCGTGGCGCCAAGTGCAAGGTTCTCCTGTCCGTGCTCAACAGGTTTAAGGATTACTTCTATCTTTCCGGCTCCGCCTCAATTCTATCGCGATCCCTGTCCTTTTGCTGCTGGATTTTTTTGGTATTGGCATGTTTGTATTAGCTTCATTCAGATTTACGAACTGTTTATTTATATTATAAATGTTCTTTAATGATTTATCAAATGTTATACAGTGGTACCTCAGGATACGAAAATAATCCGTTCCGAAACTGAGATCGTATCATGAAAATGTCGTAAGGTGGATCATCTTTTCCCATACGATTACATGTAAAACCAAATAATTCGTTCCAACGCGAAAAACATACTCAAATTAAAGCCAAGTAATACATTAAAAAAAACTGTAGTAAGAAAAACAAATAAAAAATGCGAACTAATGTAACGTCGTATAGTGAGTTTTTGTTCGTATGGTGGAGCAAAAATATGTTCGAATTTCATGTCGTATCCTGAAAATTTCGTATGCTGGGGCGTTCGTAACCTAAGGTACCACTGTATTTAAATACCATATGTTTCTTTTATTCATCATCTCAAGTTTGGTCTGACATAGTTTAATTAAACTGAATTTCTGGAAATTGATTCAGTGTTATAAACGAAAGTTCTGTTAAAAGTCAGATTTAAATTTATTGCAGCTTGCTTTAACAGCTGTATTTTAGGAATCTATCAGGTTGTAAAGGCGAAATTTAGAAAATTTATTTTTTTCTAGAAATGACCGGAAAAACTGTTCTAGAACGTTCGATGTTGGTATATAAGTAGATTAACCAGGGTGCATATCATCAAATATTTCACTAGAAATAGACGCATCGATAATGTCTGACAATACGAAATTTTCGAAATAACACATTCGCGTGTTATTTCTCTATCACTTCAGAAGTGACCACAATGCAGAAGGCTTGCGATCTCATTTGCAAGGCATTTGGCAAAGACACAGTCAACAGGCAGACCTGCTACAATTGATTCAAGATTCAAGTATAGAGATTTCTCGCTTTAAGATGAACCCTATCCAGGCAGCGATTCCACCATTAATGGTGACATTCTCCTAAAACTGACAGAAGATAATCCACCGGTAACGATAATTTTCTGATGGTCATCATCAGAAAATTAGCACAACAGCTCGAGGATTCCCATACAATCCAAAAATCGACGAAGTCCGATACCATCACAACAATGCACTAGCATATAGAGCAAAATGGCATTAGAGAAGCTGATCAGTCTAAGATGTAAATTTATAAATTCTGTAGTTAATAGCTTAATAAGTGTTTTTCCTCATTTCCAATAATTTGTACAGAGCAAAAGTATACAATTAAGTTAGACCAGTGATCTAAATTGAATAAATTAAACTTATTTATTTTATTATGTTTTATAGATAACATTGTTTATATAAGTAGATAGTAAATTACTGTACTTAACTTAATTAACTTCAAATACAACTTTATGAGAATGTAGTAGCCTAACTATTTATATTTTATATTCTGAATTCGAAAGATGTCTTGATTAAATTCATATTTCTCTATAGTATTATTTTATTCTATAATAGAATTATGTAGATAAAGAAATTCGATATTTTTTTAGTTTCCGGATTGTGTTGTATACCGCTCTCCATGTGAGTCTGTCCCAAATATGTATATTGATAGGTTATTACTCTGTAATTTCATTGATGTGCCATATGTCGCGTGTATTTGATAAAAATTTAGTCTAAATTAAATTTATTCCCAAGCTTTATTTAATAAATAAATTAAATTTTATTATAATAAATTTTTATATATCATCGAATACGCTTTTATTAATTGTTTAATCAAATGTTGCATCACAATTCTTGTCGAAGCTAAAAAATGGCCTGATAAGATTCCACGTGCAAGATTTAAATATATCGGGTTGATTTTATGTGTAATTATTAACTATTTAAATTAAAACTGAATGCTTAAATTTTTTATAGTTATAACTGGATAAAAATGAAATACAGAGTTTTATGAGGTACAAAAGTAAAAACGCAGAAAGTTAATTTTGGTTAGAGGAAAAATCGAAATCTTATTCGGTCATTTTTATTGGATATAATTGGCAGTTATACTGTAGCTAAGTAAGTTTAATATAGTATAAAGAAATTAAATTTATTTTAAGAAAGCAAAAAGTTAGCTTTAAAAAAACACCTTTAAAACACGTATGTAATAGAAATCGGTAGCCTTTCGCTACAGGCTATAGGAAAGATCTATAGCCCTGTAGCGGAACGAGTTCGAAATCAAACTACGCCAATTGTTCCTACCCAGAAAGCAAAGACAGATCGTTAGAATTATGACTTCACTAACTTCGTTACATTTTATCACAGATCAAAGAAATTCATCATACTAACTCTTAGCACCCAACTGCATTTTTTATTTCCAATTAAACTATTTATTCTGTCTCCCCCCCCGCGTGGGATTTCGAAAAATCCCTTTTTAGTGTACGTTTGATAACTGTGTACGAAATTTCAGCTTTTAACTTGGGCTCTGCGCTTATTATTATCATTATCAACCCATCTCGATTATAAGACTAGGTGCAGATAAACGTCTTATAAAGGTAAACTTTGTCTTAAACAACTGCTATTTCCTTAGAATTTTAGTTGTTTTCCATTATAGAAGTACTTACTTTATAAAGATATCTTCTAACTTAGTCACCAGTACTAATAATAACAATAAATAACTTATTCTGGTGACAAAACGTTAATAATTCTTAAACGAATGCTTTCGACCTTACCTAAGGTCTGCTTCAGGTTATAGAATAATTCTAAAACCAGAATGCTAGGAGTAAAACTTTTTTGAACATTAAATTTAAAATATCTCAAACATATAAAAAAACAAAGAGTTAACCTGTTGTAAATATAAAATTTCACTATATACATATAATGCAACCACTGTGTAATTATTTGAGGGTGCAGCATACCAGCAAATAATATCAGCTGAAGCAGACTTTGGGTAAGGTCGAAAGCGTTCGTTTAACGAATTATTAAAGTTTTCTCACCGGGAATAAAGATTATTTATATTTTTAAAATATAGTTTTAGACACTTATTTAAATTACAATATAATATATAGACTTATTTTACATTAAAACTGCATAAAAATAAACATCGAATAAAGTAATCTAGTTTTAAATAATTTTATAAATAAAAGAGAAATTCTCTGTTATTTCGTTCCGTTTCTTTCTTCTATTTCCTATAGCAGCTACAGTTACTGTTATATACTTTAATTTCTCCTACTGTCGTTATTATTTTAATTTAAACCTTATCCAACGAATTGAATAATCGAAATATTCGCATGTATTGTAGTGTGTTCAGCAGCTGTTTTTTAGAAAAAGTAGGCGTACACTTGTTATTTCGTTTAAAAGTTTATGTTGTTTAAAAAGAATTTTAGTGAAGCGTCGAAAATTCGGACTAACTGGGACAGGACCTCATCCGGATTTTCAAATAGACACCCGCGTGTAAATTACCATTTCAAAGAATCACTATATTTAAACATAAAATACACTAACAATAATTTTAAAATTAAAAACCTGTCGAATTCTGAATGAATGTTAGAACATCAATAACATCATTGAATTATTTTGCTAAGTTGTTTACGAATGAATTATAATTGTTTTACTAACGAATGTTACATTTTTAACATTTTAAGTGAAGGATAAAAGTTGAAGACAAGATAAAGGTTGATAAATAATTTTAAGAACTCTATAATAATAAATCTTTTATAAGTCTATATGTTGTTAATTCATTATGTAATTTTTACATTTTCTTACAGAAATAAAAGTTTACACTCTTTATTTCAATTTAATGCTCATTTCTTTTCAATTATGTTTTAGGCACGAAAAGTGGATTGTTAAGAAATATGATCGGTATTACTAGAAATTTTTTTTTATTTTAAAGAATTGATTTATTCTAAATTCTAGTTTTATGTATATACATACCATAATACATGTTTAGTAATTATTACACTATAAGATAGCTTTGTTTAAAAAAACGAAGAAAAAAAGAGCTAGAAAAACAAGAACATTTGTATTTTGTTCGAATTTTCCTCATCAGACGTTTGTTGCATATTTATCTTTTCTTATATAAAAGACGTTAGTAGGATTTGCTCGAAGACACAAGTAAAGTACGTATGCATTTCAACTTATAAACTTAATGTAGTTTAATGAATTTTTCAACAAGCATAATGCATATTTCAGGCATTTCAAAGCTTATATAGCAGTAAATATATCTAGCATTTTTACTTGCATGTATATGCGCATATATCGCGGTTTTAAGCTCGTATAAATCCGGCCCTTAGTGAATATTGTTTTCATTGTCTCCTATATTCTTAATTAGTTTGCCCTCTTATCCCAAGTCTTGTAATATAAATTACTCCTAAGTTTGATAAAATATAACTTTACGGTTTAAGTTTTTCTCATAATAAATAAACAAGCTATTTACTACTCGGATGTATTTTATTATATTTTGTAGATTATATTGTTTATAGATCGTATTTACAATTAATTTTAAGTAATTTACTAATTTAAGAGTATATATGAATTGTAACTATTTATACTTTATATTCTAAATTTAAAAAATATCTTGATTAAAATTTCTTCATAGTATTATTTTGTTCTGTAATAAAATTATTTAAATAAACAAATTCCATATTTTTAAGTTTCCGGATTATGTTGTTTAATGCGTCTCCATGTGAGTCTGTCCCAAATATGAATATTAATAAGTTTATTACCCTATGATCTTATCTGTGTACCAGTTGTCGTGTGTATTTAATAATAATTTACTCAACAATAAATTTATTCCAAAGTTTTAATTAGTATCAAAGATAAAATCACAAATCGTGAACTTGATTAGAGTAAATGAATATTAGATAGTGAACGGAAGTATAATTACTGTAAAAACTAAAAAGTACCGCCTCGTATTAATATATTGTGGTAATTGAAAGCCATGCTTGCTACGTGCTCCATTTATGTGCATTTTCTGAAAAATAAGTGAAAAAAATCGAATGTTTCTGACTTGCAGAACGTTTTACTCAAGCTTGTGTTTACTGTGCCTGGAAAATCTTAATATTAGCGGACGCCTTTTGTTTCTTGTAAATACTATTTTAAAAGCTTGGATAATGAATCTAATTTGTAATCGGTCAAAATAGAGTAAGCTCTGGTAGAGGGTTATCAATATACTATTCGCTAACTAACCCACACCTTAAGAATGAGATGGTGAATTAGCAAAAAGTTATATATTATTTTTTCGAATCTGTTTTTCGGAAAGATTCGTTATTTTGCTCGTTATTGTGTTGTTTATTGTGATTACCTATACAGTCAATTTTTTTAAATAAAATTTATCTTTACAACCACAGCTTCCGTTTTTTCATCATCTCACTCTCATTACCTATATATTATTTCGAATATACGAAGGATGGCAAACTGTAGCACGTCGTTAGATATCATCTGGCACATGATATATTATGAAATTTCGGTTTATCACCTGCTTTTTAAATCCTTTCCTTTTTAAATCATTTTTTTCCTTTATCACCTGATCATTTTTTAAAATCAGCTTCCTTATATTTAATCTACTTAAATCATATTTATTTAATTTCTTTAAATATCTTTATTCGAAGTCAAACCTCGATGCGCATAAACATTTTTAAAGATAAGTATATTTACTACATCACACATAGAGGCAAAAATAAGTTCGTCATCTCTGGTCTATGCAAAGAAATCATTTCGGATGATAATTTTTATTTTTCCGCTCTGTTATATATAATAGAGGAAAAGTATGGCGATCGGTCAAAAAATGTGCACCCCAAGATTTTTCACATTTTTGGACAGGAAATCTTGAAACGTCGAGAAATGCAGAAAAATTCCGGGGGGTTCAGTATATATGGATGCTAGCGTGTGTTTGTGTGTCGAGGAGAACGATTTTGTTCACCCTCTTATTTTAAGCTTAATAATTCCTGTGTTTTTTGTCGAAAATTTCTGAAATTTTGCAGGGAGGTTTGTTTATTAGGGGGATTGATGCTATTAAATTTTGGCGGTTAAAGGTCGACAGGGTGAGGAGATAAAGGAAGTCGTGTGTCATATCTCGAGTAGGATCGACTTAACGACGATTTTATTCGTTACTGGAATTTAAAATTTTTAATAATACACGGTGTCCCAAAAAATATACTCACTTTTTGACTAGCCATTACTAATATATTAAGTTTTGATTTAGGTGTTTATCGAAAATACAAGTCTAATAAGTTAAATTTTTAAAAAATTTAATGGCATTATAGGAAACATTAGTCTTTTCTCCTAGCCTTATTTTACTCATTCCTGTGTGTTCGCAAATGTTCAAACTGGTTTCTACCATTTTCCACTATGTGTGTTTACTGTACACAAAACATATCGTAACATTAAAAAGACAAATATTTAAATATTATATTTTCATTAATTTAATAAAAATATGTTTAATTACACTTTATTAGTAATAAAAAAATTTTGTCGGAGTAAAATTTGTTTTTACTCGTGTGTTTGAAAAGCACGCGAGCATGTGGTTTTTAAATTCGGATATTTTCAACGCAGTTAGCCATTTACTGTGTAATACTACGTTCGCACACAATCCACGACTTACTGGGATCTCGATTTATCTACAATCTGGATTGTGACTGTCGCTAGTCGAACGTCGTGCAGTTCGAACAGGCAGTCCGCTCGAGAAGAACCTGGCTATTAAACGCGATCATAAAACTGACGTAACTACGCGGTAAGTCACAAACACCAACAAACAAAATGGAAGTTTTGGTTAGAAATAAATACTTTTTCTTGCCATACATATAATAATAGACAGATGTCGTCGTCTCTCCAGATGTCTTTTTTATTTCTCTGTCGATAGCCCGACACGTGTTCAGCAGCCATCTTGTATTTTCTAGCGCGCGTGGGATTGTGGGATCTGTCTTATGACTGGCTGTAGTTTCGAGAACTCTCTCCAGTCAATCGCGATTGAACCTCGTTTCAGTCGAGATTGAAACGGTCGAGAGCATTAGCACCATGGAACAGGCTCCGACCTTAGTCACAATCTAGGTCGAAATGCTCGGTGCGAACGGGGTATAATTTCTCATCTCGTGGGAAAAACGAGGATTACATAACCACTTTTCTTTATTTCGCACTGTGGAATTATACACCCGTTTTGTATTTCATGAAATAGTCATCGATACAGTACAATAAATATCTTCTTTCCTATCAACATACGTTAAGTTAATTTTGCTAGCCATCGCGGTTTGACACCACCAAAGATTTTATTCGCCAGTCGACAGAATTCTGTATCTTTTTAATCGTTATTACAATTTATTCAGCACAGGTACAGCTGGCAGAGACAACTACAGCAGAACCAAAATAACGGATTATTCCGCCTGGTTATACTTCTGTACAGTGCTTTAGCCACGTTGGGAACCACGTGACTAAATGTGAATGGATTTTACTGTGTACGCCTTCAATTTTTAAATATTTTGATATTCTCAATTTATGTTTTAACTAAATTTTAATTTTCATAGATTTTCAGTGAAATGTAGTTTATATTCCGCACATGAGACATTCGATCCACCTTCTTCTTTTTTGATAAGGTTTCGTAAACTTAAGGATAGATCAATATTACATAAGAAATGAAATTGGTAACACATCGGTAATTATTATTTAAATACTTGTTTATCAATCTTTATTGTTTATCTGTGGAATATTAAAATCATTAAAATCAAAAAGACTTATATAAATTAATTTTACTCGCTTTTTCCTTTAATCTATGATTCTAATGTTTCAAATTATGTTTCATGTGTTGTAACGTATTCACTGAAAAATTTCTAACCTTAATGACAAATTTTGTATTTTTTATTTTTTATTTTTGACTCTTGGCGAAGGGAACTCTTTGTATAACAGTAGACTGAACCGTGTTCAGCATCGCAGAATTCTAGTTACGTTGCAATGTTAAAATATTTTTCCGTTTAACTTCATTAATAAAAAAAAATATTCTGTGATAAGTAGGCTTATGTAAATGATAAATATTAATAAAATTTGTGTGTTTTTGTCAAATTTAAATTTTGTTTTCTTTTTAACAATATTATTTGTTTTATTTATTTATTTATTTATTATGCATACTGAATACATTCCTTGATGCAGGGAGCAATACCATCTCCCGAAAACAAATCACTTAAATACAATAAACATAAAATCACAGACAAAAATATACAATAATGAATTATATAAGTATTGACGTAAATTTTTGATTAAAGTTTAAAATTACANATTTATCTACAATCTGGATTGTGACTGTCGCTAGTCGAACGTCGTGCAGTTCGAACAGGCAGTCCGCTCGAGAAGAACCTGGCTATTAAACGCGATCATAAAACTGACGTAACTACGCGGTAAGTCACAAACACCAACAAACAAAATGGAAGTTTTGGTTAGAAATAAATACTTTTTCTTGCCATACATATAATAATAGACAGATGTCGTCGTCTCTCCAGATGTCTTTTTTATTTCTCTGTCGATAGCCCGACACGTGTTCAGCAGCCATCTTGTATTTTCTAGCGCGCGTGGGATTGTGGGATCTGTCTTATGACTGGCTGTAGTTTCGAGAACTCTCTCCAGTCAATCGCGATTGAACCTCGTTTCAGTCGAGATTGAAACGGTCGAGAGCATTAGCACCATGGAACAGGCTCCGACCTTAGTCACAATCTAGGTCGAAATGCTCGGTGCGAACGGGGTATAATTTCTCATCTCGTGGGAAAAACGAGGATTACATAACCACTTTTCTTTATTTCGCACTGTGGAATTATACACCCGTTTTGTATTTCATGAAATAGTCATCGATACAGTACAATAAATATCTTCTTTCCTATCAACATACGTTAAGTTAATTTTGCTAGCCATCGCGGTTTGACACCACCAAAGATTTTATTCGCCAGTCGACAGAATTCTGTATCTTTTTAATCGTTATTACAATTTATTCAGCACAGGTACAGCTGGCAGAGACAACTACAGCAGAACCAAAATAACGGATTATTCCGCCTGGTTATACTTCTGTACAGTGCTTTAGCCACGTTGGGAACCACGGGGTTAGATCACGTGAATGAATTTCACACTATGTACATTTAGCTAA